GTACTTTAATTATGTCCTTACGCAGAAGCCCTAGAAAGGTTAAACCATTTGTCCAAGGTTGGCAAACCCAGGCCTTCGTGTCTGAGCGTGGTACTCCCCTTTGATCAGGCTCCCCCTGCCTCCCTGCGCCTCCTCTGAGTGCATGGGGGATCAGGAGGACTCGCCTGTGGGGCTGATGGTGGGTGGATGAGGACACATTCCAGAGGCAGGACAGAGGCAGGCAGCACAGTGCATTTCGGGGGATGGTGCAGCTCCTGCAGGGCCCGGGAGAGGCTGTTTCCAGGGAGCTCACTGAGGGGTTTGGGGACCATGGGGAGTGGAGGCCACCCAGGCCGGGCAGTGCAGGGCCTTATAGGTCCCCAGGCACCAGTGGGATGTGCTAGAGAGCTTTCCTCTTGCTAAGAGCACCAGGAAACATTAAAGGGCTCAGAGCAGGCACAGCTGTCGTGATGTGATTTGCATTTTAAGAAGCGAAAGTCAAGATGGCTTCAGGGACCCAGGGAGAAGGCTCCTGCATCTGCTAGGTGAGAGGGACAATGGAGGGTGGGTTTGAGAGATGTTTACTTAAGGTTTGATGGGTGGATTTGGGGAGAGAAGGTGGCATTGAGATGACTTCTAGGATTCAGTCTTGAACGCTAGCTGGAAAAACCACTTCTGGAGGCTGGGAAAGGACCAAACCTACGGGGGAGGGGAGAGAGGGGGGAACTCAGGGTTTGGGATGCAGAGCGTGAGGTGCCCTGTGGAGGGGGCAGTTGGGTGTCAGGTGGGGGCTGGTCTGAGGTAGCAAGTGTGGGTGTCACAGACACATGGGTGAGCACAGAGGAGCAGGCTCAGGTCCAAGGCATGGGCCCCAAGTGTTGGGTTACTGGCTTGAGAAGACTGCAGGCCGGTTGCCTCATGTCCCTTGGGCTCCACTTCTTTTTCTGTCGGTTGGAGTGAAAATCCCAACCTGGTCTGCCTCACAGGGTTACCGTGAATAAACAGGAGGAGCGTGGAAGCTTTTGAGGGTGCAGAACACTGGTGAACAGTGAAGAATTGATGGTTTTCTAAGCTGGTGACTGAAATGAAGGGTACCCTAAGTGGCCATGAAGAAGTTAACCTCCCTCTTCGGGGAAGGCTGACCTGAGTATCTATTCTTTCAAGTCCTCTTTTTGGCCAAATTCCTTTGGCAAATGGTATTGAGACCTTGTGCCCCAGGAGGTCCCAGCCTGACACACTGAAATCTCTTCTCAGAGGCCGCCCTGTCCCTCATTGCGCTGCCAGAGGAGATGGGGTGGCGGTTGTGGGGCAAGGCAGAGGGTCAGGAGACCTGGGCCTGCTGGTTGCTCTGTGCCTGGGTTGCCCAGGGTCCTGGGTGTGTGCTTTCACCTCTCCAGCCTCAGACCTGCATGTGATGAGGCTGGAACAGGGAATCTCCATGGCACCATCTGCCCCTGGGGGTCCTGTGTCCCAGGCCTCTCCCAGGGCAGGCTGCCACCTCACCTGTTCCCTAAGCTTCCTTCACTAGTCACTGTCACCCAGTGTGTGGAGGACACGCTCCCTGTTTTCTGGGCACAGTGGGCAGTAGGTGTCCGCACCAGCCATGCTGTCATGTGACCCAGAGTGGTGACAGGGGATGAAATGTCACCTCTGATCACTGACCATGGTCACTCCATCATGGGAAACCTGGGCTCTATGATTCAGGACAAGCTGTGGGATTCCTCAAACAATCAGAGGCTGGGGAATAAGAGCACCCATTCATTCATTCCTTCGTTCACTCACTCATTCATTCACCCCTCAAGTATTAATTGGGGATCCTCCTCCTGCCGGCCCTCCAGGAGGCACAGACACTGCTGGAGGCTGAGCTGTGGGGTCTGGAGCACATGAGCCTGCTGTCTTCAATCCCAGAGGGGAGCTCTGGACACGTCCCATCCAGCCATCCCCTAGGATTCTCTGTCCCTTCTCCATGCTCTGCTCCTCAGTCCTGCTGGTGAGACTGAGCAAAGTGGGGCCCAGGCTCCTCCTGGGGTCTCCTCACCTTCCTGGCTGCTGAGATGTGCTGAGCTCACTGCCAGACAGACCAGCCTCCTCTCTGCCCCCAAACACGGCCCACTCTTCCTGCTTGAAGGCCTCTGCTCTTGCCTCGCCCCCTACCCTGCTCTGTACCCTCCAACCCCTTCCAGAACTATGAGGCCACCTTGAGGACAGAGAGGGTGCACTCACTCACTGCTTGTTTCCTCCACTGGAGTCAGTATTCTTGGCAGATCCCCTACTGACAACAGTGCCCAGTGCATGGTGGGTATGGTGGGTGCATGGCAAGTGTTTCGGGAATGAATGAAGGAAAGGAATGAATGAATGATACTTTTGGAGCCCAAGTCTGTCCTTGGATGCCACACAAATGTTAGGCCAATGGCTCTATCTCCAGATGGCTTGCCCTCAGGGATGGACGGGTAAGATGTGCAGGTGGGTGCAACAGGCCTGAACACAGGGCTGGCACAGGCTTCGCCAAGCTCCAAAGAAAGCTCATCTCCAAGGAAGTCCCTCCCAGCTCTATCAAGAGCCATGCCCACTTATGGTACTAGCTCCGCCCACCTTGCCAGCCCTGGGCTCTCTCCTCCTGGAAGCACCTGGTACATGCATTGTTCTTTTTGGTATCTGACCATGACTTACTTCTTCATTTCTTCACTCACCCAGTCACTTCCTCCCTCACTGAACGAAGTGGGGCTCTTTTGGGCTCCAGTTCTGGGCTGGGCCCTGGGCTAAGGTCTTGGGGTACAGAAGTGCTGGGGCAGGGTTCTGCCTTCCAGAAGCTCATGATGCTGGGTGTGAACCGGCAACAGGGTGGGGAAGCTCATGGGGTGAGAAGGAGATGGTTCAGGGCGAAGGGGAGGCGGAGGCATGGAGTCAGAAAGGGGGTGGGTGTGGGCTGGGGCAGAGGGGCCTTCTAGAGAAACGGTTCCTGTCTTCCACTTTCTCCTGAACAGCTTTTGCACAGTTATTGGTGTCTAGCCCACCAGCAGCACTTTATAAGTCAGGATCGACAAACGATGTCCAGTGCGACTGCTGCCTGTGTTTGTGAACGGTTTTGCTGGAACACAGCCACACTCATTTGTTTTTGAGGGGCCTGGGGCTGCTTTTGAACACAGCTGAGCAGCTGGGTTGGAGACCGTATGTTTTCAAAGGCCTGGGGCCGGGGATTTAGCTCACTGGTTTCGCCACCTGCTGCACAAGCACAAGGATCCGAGTTCAATCCCCGGTACCAAAAAAAAACTTCTTTATAGTCAAAGGCCAAAAATTCTCCATGTCTTGTCCTTTCCAGGAAGTCTGCTGACCCTGGTTATAGATGCCCCAGAAACATTGCTGAGTTCTGTCAACTTAGATCAGATCTGGGGACCCCTCACTGCTAACTCCAGTCCATGCCTTTTGTTTAGGGACATCATGGAGAACCCAGTGCTCTAAACTCAACTCTACTTAATGTGGAGGAAACTGAGGCATACAGTTGGTGGGAATTGCCACCAGAAAACCCTGTCTTTCCTTTATTAAGCAAAATGCATTCATCAAGCACCTACTGTGTTCTGGGTGCAGCAGTGAGCGAAGCAAGTCTCCTGCCCCAAGGCCCATACCTCCTGGCTAACAAAGTGTCACATCACAATGTGCAGTGAGATCAGTGGCCCAGGAGTGTGGTGCCGGGCGTGGAGTCAGGTTCGATCACTCCCTTCCACCTCATCTCTCAAGTCCAGCTGTTTCCCTGATACCCCTCCTCTCCCCCACCTGCCAGGTGTGCCCTTTGGGGGGCCAGGGGCTATCTCACTTGGCCATGCTGGGCTCCCCAGCACTGAGCACAAGACTGCGTATCCAGCAGGTGCTCAATCTATGTTTACTGCACTGCTGGTCTCCTTTACTAAGCTCAGGCTGGATGAGAGCGCTAGACACAGTAACGGTGGCGACAACCCTGTGTCCCTTTGGGAATTCCATTTAAGAACAATGTCTTGGGGGAATCCATAAAAGGAAAGCACAGGCTTAGTATGATATTTTTTCCCCTTAAAGAATCTAGAGATTGCACCATGTTCCCTTCCTCTCTCATCTCAGTTTCCTGGCTGTCTTTGTATTCCGTGGGCTTCTCAGTGAAACCGGATTCCTGGCTGACCTAAGCGCTGGCTTTGATGTGCGGAGTAATTATTGAAAGAGACAGGGGCAATCCATATAATAAAATGCCTTCTACATTTTTCATAAAAACGATCCGAGGGTGACGCTAACCACTCTGCACGGGGGAGGAGAGGCGCAGGGAGCAGAGGCTGCCTTGTCCGCCTGTCTGGGTGGAGGAGGCACCAGCCTGAGAGCCTTCAGCTCCGTGGGCCCAGGCCTCAAGGACTCTCAGCCTCTCTCCGGGAAATCCCTTTCTCGGGGAGCAGGGAGCCTTGTTAGTTTTTGCTGATGCTTGAGAAATTCCCCTGTGGCCTCAGAATGCTGTCTCTCGATAATATGTCTCAGGTGGATTTAAGATCACAGCTGTTACATTGGGATTTAACTTTGATTTGACTTTCGGGGAAAGAAAAAAAAAAAACCTCTTTCTGCTTTTTTTTTTCCCTTTCCCCCAGTGGAAGTTCCAAGCTCTGGCACTGGCTGGTGGGATTTCCTCTTTACTTGTTTAAGAAACAGTGCTGGGCCAGAATGGAGAAGGAGGGAGGGTCCTTGCCCCAGTGGAGCTGAGGGATGGCTACTCAACACACAGGACAGGACCCACAGTGTGATAAAGTGCTGTGCTCTGGGAGCCTACACAGGATGCAGGGGGCTTCCTGGAGCAGGTGATGTTTCAGCTGGACCTGGAGGATGAATAGGAGTTGGCCAGACAAAGAAGCGGTGTTGCGGGCCGACGGAACAGAACACATGAAGCTTTGCCCTCCAAAGAGGAGGAAAGGAGCGAGACCAGGCCCTCCAGGGCTCCCTGATCTTTGGCTCTCTGCAGGAAGAAAGTGCAGGACCCACCACCTGGAAGGAGATGAAAAGATCGTGTGACTCACGGAGGAAATATTCTGCCGTGTCAGCTTCATAATCTGCATCCTCTGGGAAGTGATCGATCTGCTTGCACAGGCCTTTGAAGTTCCCTGCAAAACAAGGGAGAGGAGCGCATGAGCCGTGGTAGTTTGCAGGGCCAGCACCCCTGCCCCTCCCGACTCCTCGCTCTTCTGAAGCTCACCTTTCCCGAGGAGGAAAGGATCGTTTTGTCTGTTTGGACATCTGCCTGGCAGATCAAAACACACACGCCTGCAGCACTGCGGAGAGGATCTAAAGCTAAGACTTCAAAACCCTGCTTTCCATCCCTGCGTCTGCATCTCGGCTTCTGAGAATTAGCTGAGCTTGGCAGCAGCCAAGGTTTGATTCTGGGCCTGGGCTGAGCTAAGAAGGCTGACGGATGCTTATTAGCTCTCTGAGCCCCAGCTTGGTGGGGGGCTGCCCTGCATTGCCAAGCAGGCAGACCCCAGACTGGCGGTGGCAGCGGCAGGCAGCCCCACAGCCCTCAGTGGAGTCTGTGCGCCCTTCTGCAGGGGGTGGCATTCACTTCTCCAGCCCTGGCAGCTCTGGGGATCCCCAAGGCTGAGTCCTCATAGGGGTTGGGCCCTTCCACAGCCTTGAACCACAGCTCAGTTTGGCTCAGGCCTGTGAGAGGGGTGTCATCACTCCATTTTGCAGACAAAGAAACTGAGGCTCGGGGAGGCTTGCTGATCTGTGGCTAGGACATGATGCAGGCAAGACTCACACTAAGGCCTAGATGTTTCCTGGGTGATGGCTGAGCAGGTGCAAACCAGTCCAGGAGCCAACTCCAAGCACAAGGTCCCAGCAGGCCCTCACCGATATTCACTGAGTGAATTCACAAACTACCAGGGCAACCTTCATCCAAACTGACGAATAGAGTCCAATTTACAGTTGTTAGAGGTTCTGCTTCAGGAGGGTGGGACTCTTGTCTGTCCCACACATTGTCCTGTCCCCAGCACCAGCAGAAGTGCCACTAATGAAAAGAAAAGAATCGACCCTGGACTGGGAGGTCGGCCTGGGCCCAGATGCAGGTTCTGTGGTCAGGCTGCCTAGTGCAGTTCAGTTTCCTTGAGTTGACTCACCTTCCCCTCTGAGGGCCCACATGTAGTGCTTGGAATGGTACCTGGTGCACTTAGTCCTTGGGGGCTCAGGTGCAAGAGTGAAATGGACTTGGTCTATGTTCAGCCACAGACACCTGGGGCTTTTCTGTAACACTGGCTAGTGTGACCTAACTGAGGCAGTCCTCAACCCCTGTTTGCCATTTATTTTCTTGTAGAGTCTTGAAGTTTCACATCTCAAAAGTAGGAATGGGTTTATTATGTACCACTGATATCATTTAGGAATTTAAAGGCGTTGTTACGTAGACCTGTATATATCACATACACAGGTTCAATGTCCCTAATTAAAAAGTCCAAAATCTGAAATACTCCAAAATCCAGAACTTTTTGAGCACCAACATGACACTGGAAGTAGAAAATTTCACCTTGACCTCCTGTGCAGGGGGACACAGTCAAAAAACACAGGCCCAGAAAAATTACTGTATGAAAATTACCTTCAGGTTATACATATATGAAAAATAATGAATTTCATGGTTAGACTTGGGTCTCTCCCACAGAATATCTCATTATACATCTGACATATTCTAAAATAAAAAAAATCTGAGATTCCAAACTCCTGGTGCTAAGTATTTTGGATAAAGGATATCCAACCTGGCCCTTACATCCAGCACAAAGGTATGTGTATATATTCTAGATGAATATAATAAGCACTTCAGGTATTTCCTGTCATGTGCTATTCAATGTAGAGAGGACTTCTGCTGCCATTCACACAAAAAATGGTCCTGCCCCAAATTCACCAACTTTCCTGATTTCTTAAACATGCGTTGGAACTTCCAGTCACCTCACTGGCAGCACCTGCTGGGCAGCAGTAGTTTGGTGTTTCATTCTCCTCAGCCCCCCACATTTGTTTTCTTCCACCTCCTGCCTCTGGGGGTGTAAACAGGAGGCCAGGTCTGCCCCCTGCTACATTGTTGCTCTTTTCCACTCATACATTTTCCTCTCCCTTCTGTCAGGAAAGTTCACAAAGGCTGAGAAGTAGATTAAAAAATTCTCCCAGTTGTTAAAATTACAAAGCAGAGTAGTTGAAAAGCACTTAGAAAGCACTTCCATTTTCCTTCAATTCAGTCAACTCAGAGCCAGGCATCTTTACGAGGAACGGGCCCAGGCGGCTCTCTTGAGAGTCCTTCCTCCAGACGTGCCCCGAAGTGCCTCGCAGGGAACCCAGGGCTGGCAGTTGGCCCTGCTTCCTCTCCCATCTCATTCAAGGGCAGCAGCTGCACGCTGGAGGCCACGCCCATGCCTGCTTCCTGCCTGGATGTCCAGGGCCAATCCTGGGCCTCACCCATGCTGGGAGCCCATGGCTCCTACCACAAAGCAAGGTTCAGGAGATAAGCGCACACAGGCAAGGAGAGGCTATGCGGAGTCCTGGGCCACACCCACTCTTTCCTCTCCCTACAGAGTAATCACGAAGATCCTTTGAAAATGCAAATCTGATCCTGCAGGCACCCGTTTAAAACGCAGCAGGTGCCCGGTGCTCTCAGGGCAAAACTCAACATGTTTAAGAAGGCTTGACCTTGCCTGGTCTCTTGGGTCTCGCTCCCACCCTTTTCCTCCTTCTCTGTTCTTCTTGGTCTTCTCTCCTGTCCTCCTCTTTCCCACCACAGGATATTTGCACATACTAGTCTTGCTGCCTGAGCGCCCCCATCCTTTGTTGCCTCCTCTTAACTCCCTTCACACCTTGCTAGGGAGTGTCCACCCCCATTTGGCGGCGTGGGTCGGGGAGATGATGCCCACAGGAATGTTCTGGTGGAGACAGAGGAAGGCACAGGCCGCAGAGAGGAGGGAGCCAAGTAAGAGGGGACAAGGTCCAGGACACAGGCACCCCAGGTGAGTGCACAAGAGGTGGAGTGCCTCTGGGTGCACATGGTGGGGACAGCTGCGATATGTCCCTCTGGCTGCCGCTATTTTTTTTACGAATGGGAAGCAGGCTGGTCAGAGAAGGGGCGGAAGGGTTGGAGCCTGAGGAAGGACGAAGGAAGCAAAAGGCTCCCCGTGAGGCTGGCTCGGGGAGGGACCAGGCTGTCCAGGGTGTGTGACAGGCTGTGTGTGCATTGGTGGCTCCAGGTCCCTTCTGGGGTTCCGGTTCTCTCCAGCCTCCCAGGAGCCGAGTGGGGTGCAGGTGCAGTGTGATTGGCCTTTAGCCAGGAGGGGCATTGGGGGAGTGCAAGAGGGCAGGGCGGGGCGATTGTGAAGCTGGAGGGCAGCCTCTGAGCGGCTGGGTAATGGGGAGGAAGGGCCTGAGGGGCAGTGAGGTGGGGGAAGAGTTGTGCGTGCCTGTGCGTGCCTGTGTGTGCGTGTGCACATGCGTGCGCATGTGTGGCCAGTGCATTGGAAGCCTTAGGCAGAGGGTCCGGGAATTGTCAGAGTCAGAGGCTCAGGGGACAGGGCCTGAAGGGTTAGACAAGGCTCAGGGTGTGGGGTACAAAAGACAGATTGCTGGGGGGATGTACGTGTGCCGATCAGTGCTCCCAAGGCCAAGGGTAAGACCAGAAATGCGGGTGGCTCAGGTGGAGAGAGAAATGACATTCAATGTATTTGGCAACTGGAAAGGTCATACAAATTAATAATAAGGCAGAACTAAAACATTCCCTTTTATTTTCTGTATACATCAAGTATATATTAAGAAACTGCCTGCCCAGTTAAAAGTCAAAAGTGCAAATGATACAGCAAATTATCCTAATAAGCCCCAAATCATTGGTTGGTTTTTAGAAATTATTGGTGTGATCTTTTGATGATGAGGCTGTTACAAGCTAAATGATGGCCCTGTCTGGCCACGATTTGACATGGGGAGCCGCACCAGATGCTGCCCCGTCTTTCCTGCTGCAGGAAGCGCTGTTTGGTCTCCTCGAGTGTAGTTTTATAAATTGATCATCAGTGTTCGCAGATCTGTCAGCGAAACTGGTCCTCGGTCCAGTGCCTGGCAGCCTCAGGAGGCCAGGCCTGGAGCAGGATGACACTGCTGGGACCAGCAGGGAGAGTGGGCAAGGGGCAGAAGCCACAGGGGGAGCCAGCAGGAAGCAGCTGCCTCTTCTGCCCACCTTGAGCCATCGCCCACCCCCCGCAGGGCCAGAACAGAGCTCCCTGCCCTGGACTGGACTGATTGGTACAACAGTTATTCAGCATTTAACAACCAAGGGGTGGCACTGTCCAGGCCACACATGATCCCTGAGAGAGAGAGGTCAAGGCCAGGTACAGGGGGCACCAGCTGCCAGCTTTGGAGTCTACAGGGATGATTGTAGGGTGACATGGGAGAGGGGGGTTGTGGGCAGGGCTGGCATCTGCAGGGAAGGAGGGGTCCCCAGGTGTGGGGTTGCAGGGAGATGGGGTGGGTGGGAAAGAGCCTGGAAACAGCCCCGAGGAGCAGTGGGCTGGGAGACCTGGGCTGGGGGCAAGAGGTGTCCGGAAGTGAGCCGAGAGGAGGTGGCGGCCTCAGGGAGGCCCTCGTTTCCATCAAGCAAGAGAGGAGGCTGGGAAGATGAGACGCAAATGCCAGAGGCCCCAGGGTGAGGATGGGGGAGCTGGAGGCTGGGTCAGTGGATGAAAGAGCCCTGAGGGACAAGCATCTAGTAGTGAGGAGTGACAGGGTAAACCGAGGCACGGGTCCTGAGAACAGGGTGGTGGGGCTGAGGACTGGCTGGCAGAGCAGGGGGTCTCTGGAAGCACCAGGAACTTGGCGGGCCCTGGATTCAGTCTGAGTAATGAATGGCAGGGGCAAGGCTCACCGAGGGGAAGTGGGACTGAGCACTCAGCCACCGCTGGTGACATTTATTAGGACGAGGGTGTGACCTTGATTTGCTCCTGTCAGCCTGGAGTTCCACTGTATCTCTTTGCAGTTGGTGGTAATCAAGCCTGTGTCACATGGCTTCAGGCACAGGTGGGTCCAGGTGCTGAGAAATCTGGCATCTTGCTCCTTGTGAGGACTTCCCTATTAGTTGGCTTCTTCCTTAAGTAGT